CCCCCCTGCGCCGGTTCACGCCGTCATGGACTTCTACCAGGGTTACTTGTGATTGCCTGCTACCTTTCGTTCACCCCCTCCTCTCTCAAGTATTCCAGTACGCGTTGCGGTACCTGCACATACAATACAAAAACCATCAAAAAACACGCCTGCTCGTTTACAAGAGGTTGCAGTTGACTCAAATCTGACGAACTGACTGTTGGGGCTGCGGAGAGTATCTCTCCGCAGCCCCAACAACCAAATACCATAAATGTCAAGGGAGTAACTGCACCTTTTCTATCTCAAGTTCGTGTTTCGCACCGCGACTGACTGACGTTCTCATCTTCCTTTTGGCTCTGAGATCGAGGCGAAAACTACAGCTCCAGCGAGAACGAACCAAGAAAGCCAAACATGATGCTGAGAGGGTTGTTCGCTCAGCTTGCTTCGTTGACTGTGTGGCACTCTAGTTTGCTTTGGCTTGCTGTTTACTTCTATGCCACGTGATGCCACGTGTTCCTTCTATTGTTTCTTTGTTTGGGGGGGGCAGGGCGAACACAAAAAACACTGACTTTTGAAGTGAGGCAGTACTGGACGCAGAATGGCGCGCAGGAATCTCATTTTTTAATTTTGCAACAGTTATGTGCGGACTCATTCTGAAGGTTTTACCAAATACAAAAGGTTCAGCAACTGTAGAGCCAATCCCAGACTTCAGAGGTCGCTGACGCAGAACGCTCTGTTGAAGAACGGCGAGCTCGCCGGGAGCAAGACTTGCAAGCCTTGGAAGTACAAGTCACTTGTGCCTGCAAGCCTGGCCCAAACGGATGTGTCTTCAGCGTTGCCTATCAGCTTTGAAATCCAAATTTCCTGGTGTGTTTCGCAATGTCACTATTTTGTTTCGCATGGTGTGGCGAAGCAGACACAGCGGATTTACTGTGCCTTAGGTCCGCCAGGCCGACATTTTGTACGACGAATCTGCCCGTGAAATGAAAAAGCCTGGGACTCGCTGACTCGCTAGCCGCTAGCCGCTGTGTTGTGCAGAGGTCAGAAAGTGCTAGGTGCAGACATGTGGTTCGCACAAAACATGGTTTTCCATGATTATCCCGACAAAGTTGTTTCTTGATTGAACGGTTTGTATGTTTGGTGATATTCAGGCATGCCGGGTTTGCACAGAGAGGTGATCAAGGACATCATAAAATTTGCAACTTGAGGCGCCTGGCTGAAGCTGAAGGTCTGAAAATTGCAGAAGAGGCCAGAGCGACCAATGAGGAACCGAGAGTTCACTTATGAAAGGAATGAACCTTGCAAGTTAGGCATTTTGCGTTACAAGGGCCATGTGAAGTTTTGAGATATTAGTGAAGGTTTTTGACCTTGGTACATCCTATAATATGTTGTTTTGATCTAATGCAAACTCCACGGGCCTCGTTATTTTGAGAGTTAGCGGGAGGTTTAGCGCACACTTATCACAGCAGTATACCTAGGCTCTTGTTTGGGCAATCCTTTGTTTGCCACAGTCTCAATTTGAGAGGACCCCAACAAAAAGTCAAGAACCCGCCTCGGATTGAATCTACTTGCCGAGTCTGATGTTTCCATCAGAATCATCAGAGGCACATTTGGCAGCGAGCCTTCGACTCTGGAATGCAGCACGTGAACTTGGCTAAATATTGGAGCTGTGGGCTGTGCTGTTGCCTTTGACGCCTTTGAATTCTTTTGGACGGGCCCCAATAAGTAACCTTCAGAATTCACTGATACCCCAAACAAATCTTCACGTTTCCGTCATTTGACTCAGCAACATCAGCGAAGCCCTTTGCACTATGGAAGAGTGCAGACGCCTTCCTTTTGCAAGTTCAGACGAGGTGCCAAAACAGACGCGGCACGGAGAAGATACGAAGAGGCGAAGGTGGATCATGGCAGTGGTTTCGCTGAGTTGAGAGGTCGTTCTCATGACATAAGAGGTCGTTCTACCAGTACTTCTACCATCTAAGTGATGTGGGGCAATGATCCCATGATCAAGTCTAAAGTTGCCCACCTACAGAAAGGGTGTACTGTACCTGGGGTTGAACCGAGAACATATCGTTGCCGTTGCCATTTAAGATTGTGCGCTACCGGGTTTTTGTCGAAATCAGCACATGGAATGAACTAGCTAGTGGAGTGCGTCCGATTTGCGAACAAGCTAGCTTAATGTCAGCTCCCTTGTTACTAGTAGCGATGCCAGGAGCCCCTAGTAGCTTCTTGTTCCAAGTAGTAACGCCAGGAGCGCCCCTAGTAGCGTCCTTGCTCCTACCAGCTCAACGTCAGTTCCCTTGCAACTGAATTGATATCGGCAAGGCAGCTGCTGCTCAAAGACTTTGTGCTCGGGAGAAGGAGATTCAAGAGATGGCGGAGGAAATGGATCGCCAGGTGGAAAGATAGATGCCCATGCAGAACATGCTCGAAAGACTCATGGTTCACAATGCATTCTGTTTTGCTTGCACTTTCAAGAGTCAAGGAGGCGGAGGCTAAAGAGCAAGCGGAAGAGCACTTGCGCTTTGTCAAGGATGGCTGTAGGTTACAGCCGGGGCATACACAAAGAGGTGTTTGGTGGCGCTTTAAGTTTTTTAGTTACTATTACTATTACTGTGTTCTTGTTCACCCGTGTCACTTGAAGATTGCTTGTGCCATTGCTTGCCACTTGACTTTAATGGTGTCAGTGATTGCCCATGTTTCATCCCTTTTGAAGGAGCAATGTGATGAGCATGTGAAGGCTATGCGAGTCCAATCCTCCAAAATCAAGGAGGCAAGGAAGCGGGGGCCGAGTGGACAAGTGGATCAAGAACAAAGGAACATGTTCTAGACTCCCCGGTGTCCAGCTTGTTCATCATGTTCAAGACGTTCTAAGACACCCAGAAGAATTGCACCGATTTGCTTGGTTTGCGTTCACGGAGAGGCAGTGGCAGCAAACCTGCCGATGGCTATCAAGCGAACGGTCGCAGCGCAGGACACAGTGACTGGAGTGTGGTTTGGCAGCTTGGTGAAACCTCACGGGTGTTCAAAGAGGGTGCTTTAGGCGTAAGTGTCCTGTTTGGTGGATTCTTCAAACATATTTCACCTTTGAGGCCATTTTGCCCGTGTTTGGGGTCTCAGGAGCTGACACAGCACCGGCGGCTCGCCGCACACGAGCGCCTGTCTCAAGAGCGCATCTTGGCGATGTGACGTGCTATGGTAGTAGCGTCCTTGCTCCTAGTAGTAAGGGCAGGAGCAACTAGTAGCTTCTTGTTACTAGTAGTAAGGGCAGGAGCCCCTAGTAGC